ATTGGTGGGGAACCTTCAGGTGGACTCCTTAAATAGGTAATATAGAAAAGTTACACATGTAGCCAATTGTATGCTCTATTGTAGTGGTTCATTGAACTACAATACCGATAAGTAATTAATAAAAGTCAAAAGACCAAAGAGGTCACCTTAAAAAAAAAAAAAAAAAAAAAAACTAATACTAATAATATAATATATTATGCTATGCTAATAAACTATTTTGTAATATTATATATTATTTAAGTTAATAAAAACTTATTTAATTTATTAGTCTAAGTATAATCTATTTAATTTATTTATATTTTTAGAAGTTTTAATTTATTAAAGATTTAGTTTTTGTAATATCTAACTAGCAGTTTCTAATTTTATTAAAACTGCTTTTTAAAGTTGTCTTAATGTTTGGTTTGCATCTTAGTTTTGCTTATAATAATCAAACTGGTTTTTTTCAATTGACTTTTTTATTTTTTAATACAAAGATTGTCTTACTGGTTTTTTTTTACCTTTTTTTATTTTTTTTTCTCTTACTTATTCTTTTTTTTTTTTTTTTTACTTCTCTTGTCTTCTTTACTTATTTTATTCACTTTTTTTACTTGCTTATTAACTCACATCTGAAGCATTATATGTGTTAATAGAATCTCTTTCTGAAAGTCTTTTTATTGTTTTTATTAGTTGAGTACTTTATTATAAATAAATAATTAGCTATTGGTATTCTGTCCAAAATGAATCTGCCGTTCTCAACTACGTATAGTACATACGTACGAATTCAGAAGACATGGTGACATCTGTAAATGCTAACCCTAACATAAACGAACTTTAAAGGATTTTATTATTTATCACATTCAAGTATTATCATGAAAATTAAAAAACAACATACTGCACGAACAGACTATATGAGCAGAATTATTATAATGTACGTGTTATTTCGGGCGTTATTTCAAAGCCAAAATTCCGAAATAGCACCCATGTTCTTTATTTAGTTAATGCATTATTAATAGATTTGCAGCTAAGTGGTAACTTTCTTAACTTACTGTATGGCTTTCAAGCCGTTTATATCAGTACAATTTCGTTAAAATGAATTAGCATATTCAGATACAATAGTACGTGAAAACTAGGTTCATAATTAAATTTTATTAATTTTTGCATCACACCTAATTTCGAAAATTGATTGGGTATATGCTGTATGTTGTGATTTTTGCCTCAGGTGATAACTGAGCCACCTCAGGTGTTAATTGTTTGGGCGGCTTTAACTGATCGACATCAATTGACCTAAACTATAGCCTAATTCTTACCCTATCGACACCTATAATTAATATCTCTTACCCTAACTCTAACTCTAATTTAGGTTAACTTTATTATAGCCGTACCATAACAAATACAACCTCTAACCAATCCTCAAATGGTACAGCTAGGTTACTTAATAGATAACAGTTATTGTTACGTAGCATGCGATAATGTTTTACTATGGTTAGTTTAAAAAATAAACCCATAAGTAAGTATGTTGTAAAGGCTAGACTGGTACCGGGGCCGATATACGTCAGGACACGGGTCACACTAATAACAAAACTAAAATACTATACTATCTAATCTAAACCCTAATCGTGAAAGACTACGATCGAGGCGCGGAAAGATTTGGACCGAGTAATCAAGATGTTAGATTAGAGCTCTAGATTACGTCACGAGCAGAGATTGACATAATGCCGGAATTTTCCGTAATTAGATTGAATGATGCCTAAAATGTAACTCATTATAGTTATGACACTATGTCTGCACCTATAATCTACCTATAATCACGAAACTAATTTGAAAATCACGGGTTATGACAATAAGTCTACATTATTAATTGGGACGGATTCTAATTGAATGGAGGAAAATTGAACTCGAAGCAGATACGTACAATTAAATAAACTGACCATACACACTATATCTACTACGTATATCGAATACGTACTACGTAAGTATGTTGCATCTGGGGTATCGACCTATCTGGACCTATCTGGAGTAGCTATTTCAGATATCTGAAGTAGCACCTGGCTAAGCCCCTGAAATTAGATCTTCACATATGCATTAAGCCGTGCAACTTCAGATAGGTCACTACGTACTCTAGATGCCGATTTGGCATAATCAACCCGAGTCATCTCAAACTCTTTGTGACACATCCACAAACATAATTAATTGATTAAATGATTTTTTTATCGCTATTCAATTATTGTAAATTGTAGACATATGTATAAAATTTAAATTACAAACAATATCTATTGAACTAGTAAATGTATACAAATAATAAATTATATTTATTTATTATACTTCTCTTAAGTGTTTTTTTAACTTACATATACTAAAATAAAAAATCAATTATGAAATAACTTCTAAGAAAAGTAAAAAAAAAGGGAGTTGTTACAATAAAAAACACATTAAGAGAAGTCTAATAAATGATGTACATTTACAATATACAATTCATTCATTAGCTTTAGTTAAAAATCGACTAATGATCAATACCAATTGCACTACAATAAGTTCTAGTACTTCATGTATATTGATTGTATCACATGGACATAAATAAGATAATCACATGTTATATCAAAGTAAGTCGCAATAACGATAAAGGTTTGTCAAAAGTTTTTATGTTACCGTTAGAAAAAGATTTCTTTCTTTGTACACAATGGCTTAGAAACTCGGATTTGTAATCGAAGTTTGACTAACTAGATAAATTGTTGCGGAGGAACTATGAATTTTTTTACTAGCGCTAACTAAATTTTTATTACATCAGATGAAAAAAAAAATTGTAACCGGTTTTGTTTACAAAATATTATTTAATATAATAGGGATGTGAGTTAAGAGAGTGATACAATTTTAAACACACAGTATGATATCTATAAATCACTAATTTAACATGCATGATTGTATGCGTGGTTTATTTCAATGAGTATATCGAATAAGGCAATATGAATGAAACTTCATTTAAACTTTTAAGTCGGGTAATAAAACCTGCCACAAAATCGATAAAAAAAACAAGGTTGATAGCTTTATTTTGAGGTCCAATAGTTATTATAGTTATATGCAATGTTTCATATTCATGATAATCGAAGTTAAACCATATTGTGCGCAGTTGCAGTATATACAGCATTTCATGACTATGAATGGTTACAATAATAATATGTATTAATTGGCATTAAAAGTATACATCATTATAAGTATAAGTCATTATTAAAACTTTCTTTATTGGAGTTCAAGCATTCAAGTGAGGGCGAAGGCACGTTTGATGCATATTCTTATGAAGTATTCCGAATTTATTCCTTTATTTTTTTTTTTAATTTTTTTTAAGCCTCATATTACTCACTTTTTACGGTTATTAAATGCCAAAGAAAATCATTCCGGCATTATCTCCAAATTTATACATAAAAGTACACGCCATTTGCACACCTTAAAGTATTAAGATTGCTCAAAATCGTGTTTAGTAAGAAGAGTACATTTTTATATAGTAATGTCAAAACGTCAAAAGGGAACAATCAATCGATTATGGTTAATGGCGTTCATCTCAATCGGTAGTGGCAATTTTCCATTTTTGTACATTAATAGAATTAATTAATACTACGTATAGATAAGATATCATCTTACTAATTCAATTGATTTTTTTTTTTTTTTTTTTTTTTTTTTTTTTTTTTTAAACGAAAAGCTATGAATACCGTGGTCACGAAAGCAAATCGCCGAAGTATATGATTGAATGTAATTTGGACGAATGCTTTTATTATTTCAGAAAGTATTATGAAATGAATAACGATCGATCTGCGAATCCCTATTTTGTGTATGCATTGTGTTTGCCTTTACTGGCTTGAGTAGGCTGACACTTAAATGCAGAGCACAAAAAAAAAAGGTTGAATTGTACTCAAAACTCTACGTATAATAACACTTAAACACATTACGCCCTATGGCGCCAATAAGAAATTTTTATTACAAAAAGGACTGCTTTCACCCTTTCTGTTCCTCCTCCTTCCCTTCTACAATTTCATATTTCACTAAAAAAATCTTTTACTATTTGTCTTACATAAATTTTACAGTCAAGGACTTGACAATCTACCCGTTCGCATCGAAATTGCGTAGTGATAGTCAAAGCTTCATACTTCTTCCTAATCGGTCTCCACCTGAAAAAACGCGACATATTAAATTTACAGACGAAACTCGCGATAATTATTATATTGGGAGGAGCTTTCGTCATTCGTGATTGTCGTTTCCGCAATTATTAACGATGCGACGGGTTTCTAAATTGACATTTGTAAATAAATATTCACAATCTGTAAAAAAAAATTGTAAATATCCACATAGAATCTGATACATATATATATAGACACATACCCAAAATTATTTACTATACCTTAATAATTAATAATTATTTTCGTCGGCTTGTCATTTCGAACATCCTGGTCACGATTAAAAATAATAAGACGTACACGCATGTTGACATTCACCGATGAATCTTTTCGTTCTTCTGCGCATTTTCGAAAATTTACGATTTATTGTAAACTGAGACTCTACGCATGATCTTCTTCGATACACCACACGGGATTTGCTGGAACTTTAAAAAAATTATGATTTCTATTTCTATGCCTTCCCCCCCTCTCCTTAAAATTAACCTCCAAGTTATGCTTAAATTGTTCTATTGCTTTTTTTTACATTCGACGACGGCTTTTATGCAACCAATATCCTTATTGTTTTCTCTTAAGTTTAAAGAAACTATCCATTTGATTTATTTCGGAAATCTCTACGCTAGTTTCTTTGGCTTCTTTTTTCTTTATGTTCTAATTTTAGTTCTTTCGATAAAGTATTCATATATATTAACTATATGTAATATGGGCGCATTTTTTTATGAATTGATACGCACATATCTATTTTGTATGTTTATATATGGTATATACACAGAAATATTAATAAATTTTCTCTCTTTAAAACTATCCATATCATTCTCGATTTGGTATCTAAATAATATGTCTGTATTTTTCTTTCTTTTTTTTTTTTTTACAAAAAAAAAAAAAAAAAAAATTTACATATTAAGAAATATTAAAAATTGCATACGTATTAAGAAATATTAAAAATTGCATGCGTATTAAGAAATATTAAAAATTGTGTATACATACGTATTAAAAATTATACGTATACCAAAAATTATTATATCACAAGACAAACTATTACACAAATGATTGTCGAGATCTAGAACCGTTGTATTTCATAACCTAGAAGCAAAAATTAATTTATTTGAATGATTACATCAATGACATTAAGCTGAACCTAATTTGTTACCAAATAAATTGTTTATTCAAATATCTTAATTTGGTTCGATCTCTAACACTGGTCTTTTTAAATAATTTAAGTTCACTAGCGATTTTTTATATTGTTACACTCGAACTACCTCTTCTATGAGTTCGGTGTAACTAGAGGCGATAATAAGTAAATTCCTCTGCTTGAATTGCAATTGAATATATATGAAGATCTAAGTAGTCGTAGAATATGTGAATAGTTTATTTGAGATATTCGTGTATGAAGACACGATTGCTCTTCTAGTAAATTGTATTGAATGGATTCCTAATGGAACGCCGAGTTATTTATACATTTAATCGATCACGATTGTTGATCATTACATCTATCGACTATACTTACATCTATCGCTATTATTCTATAGGATAATTATACACGACAGTACGTTTCACCGACAAGTTTTTTTTTATAAATTACATTAACCTTAATTCTAATTCTAAGCCTGTCCCTAACGACAATGACCAGAATTACTTTGTTGGTGAAATGAACTTGTCAGTGAATCGTACTATCAGTGAAATGAACTTGTCGGTGAATCGTACTGTCGGTGAAATGAACCTGTCGGTTAATTGATTGTCGGTGAGATGAAATGTACGGTATCGCTGGTTTATCCACCCGTTTTTAAAATCATTAACCGGATTACTTCAAATGTTCGGTCGACCCAGTTAACCCGGTTATGGTAGAAAACTCATACGATTGGTTGATTATCCAATAGCGATAGTTATAGAATATATAAAACAAAAATTAATAAAATTCTTCGCCAATTATTATCCAATGGTATTAATTCACTAATACATTTATAACCTTCCCTATTTTTACTTATCCATCCTTGAATTGTTTGAAATATTCTTAAGTATTCATTCTTTACAATAATCTTACGGAACAATATATTCGCAACTTTTATATAATAACGACCAAATTTCATAAATATTATCTATCACGTGTACATGCATATATCCAATCCAGTGTTTAATATTGGCTTGCACAAGATGCACATGTGCTAAGCGTGCGAGTAAAATTTTTTAAAAAAAGTTGCACAAAATGCATTCGTGCAAGTGATTTTTTTTTTGAATTTTAAACACCGATCCAATTACATAGTATTATACACTTTATATAACAGGAGGAACCGTCATTATAATCCAACACCATTTTATTATAATAAAAATGATGTTGAATTATAATCATAACATATACTAGCGGAATGATCTGGTATTGTAAAATAATTTATTTATTCTAATAAGATATTACAAATAAAGTGTATAACATCATTTTACAATTAGATTCATTCTTTAAATAAAACATTTTAGTTATTATGGTGCTGAAAACCTTATTGTTTTTCTCAGTATTGCTACTAAAATTTTACGGCACATGATTTTTTGTTGACGTATCAAAAAAATCTTAGTGTTTATTATATATACAATTAGATATTAGTGTACATGTTATAAGTATAACCGGAATTTAAAAATTTTAAAATTAGAATATAAGTTTATATAAAAATAATTTTATTAAAAAATTCTTAAATATATCTAATTTTTTTTTTTTTTGAAATGCCAAAGTAAAAACTTTATTAAGTAATAGAAAAATTACATTAAAGATTTTTAAACTACTGTACATTTGTGCTACTTATTTTAAGACACCCAATGTGACATTACATTTCTATTTCTATATAACACTATTATTAATTATTTCAAATTAATTTTAAGTATAGAAAGGTTGGAGAAAAATCTAAAGTAATAGTTTTGACATTTAGTAAATATAGTAGTAAGTGAATAGCCTAAGAATAATCAGTTTTTAATAAACATAGTAGGGTCAATAATAGATGTATTTGGAGTATTGGATATTGACTAAAAGGTGGAAATTAAAGAGTAGATTTTTAAACATTTGGATTTGTTAGTTATATTATGAGCTTCTTTCTATTGTTATTAAAAAATGTTATGTGATAGTTATATTTGTTGATAGAATCAATTAAGAGAAGCATTAAATAAGATTATAAGAAAGAATAATGTTGTTTTATAAAGAAATATTTTAATATTGTTATATAGAAATATAGAATAAAAGCCTTGAATAAAATTCAAAAAATGAAAATGTAGTGATATATTAAGGTAGTGAAGTAATGAGTATGAATAGTATTTGTAATTTCAGTAGAAATATTTAATTGTTAGGTAATATTTATAAAAAATTTGTTGAAGATTAAATTTTTGTTTAGAGCAAGTTAATAGATGAGGTATATCTTCGATTGATTGACAATAAATACAATTTAGAGTAGTGTATAATAAGAAGTAGTATATATTAAGATTTTGTATAGTTGGTAAGTTGTTATTGATAATTTTTAGTTGAAATAAATAGAATTTTTGATTATTATTAAGTGAATTAATAATATTAAAATTGGTAAACTATTTAATAAAAAATGGATTTTGAAAGTATTTAAGTTGTGATCAAGTAAGAAGTAATTGAATAGTTATAGTATTTTGAAAAAAGAAGTAAGTTTTAGTAGAAATTATATAATCATATTATATAAAATAAAAAGAAAGTATTGCTTTAAAGTTGGATATAATTTGGTATTTATTAATAACTTGTTTGACTAAAAAATTAGTTTAATTATGAAAAGAGTTATTTGAATAAGATTTGATTTTATAAAAAGAAATATTAAGAAACTTTGTTTAATAAAATGATGAATAATAAATAAGATATTTTAGTTTTTTATATGAGAGAATTTATGTAATAATGGAAATAGTTAAATATTTTTAAGTACAGAAAGGTTGTTCAGATGTATATTATTTTGAGAATTTATTGGCAAAATAAAGAGAAGATATATTATTGCTTTAAGTTTTACTTAGGTAAAGTCAAGAGATGAAGAAATAAAATACTTAATATTTAATTTGAATATTATATTCAGAAATCTATTTAATTCCAATTTTAGGATATAATATTTGAGTATTAATGATTGAAATATCTGTATAAAAATGAGTATTATTTAAAAGATTTTTTGCTAATAAAAATAATTTGATAAGTTAATTTTAATAATTAGAGAATAATATATATTTTTGTATTATTTGTATTTCTATTTTAGGAATGTATATAATTAGAGTTTGAGTTGATATAAGTGATAAAGAAGTTTGTTATAATATATTGAGAAATATATGAATTTTATAATTATTAATATGAAGAGAATAAATATTATCTTTTTTTGATGACTTAATATTTGAAATATTAATGAAGGTTTGAGGTATTAGTATAGATGGATTAGTAGAAGTTAAGAATATTAAGCTATAAGTAGTATTATTAATTGAGAAAAAATTAAATAAATTTTTTATAAAAAGAATTTGAGAATTATTAAAAAAAATAGACTATTAATTTAATGATAATAGATAATAGGATGTAATTATATCAAGAGAATTAATAAAGTTATTAATATTAGATAGATTAAAATGTAGTTATGTTTGGTGAATAGTATTATTTTAAATAAAATTACAAAGTTTGATAAACTAGGAAAAATAAGTTCATGTATAAATTTCTTAGTTTGTATATATATATTATTCCAAGATAAAAGATATAAGTTGTCAGCAGTTGTAATTTGTTTAATAAAGAGTATTTTATTATTGCAGTGACTATTTATTAAAGAAGAAGAAATATTAGATAGAAGAATGTTATATATTGTTTTTGTTATTATAGAAATATTAGTTGATGATAAATTTAATGAGTTATTAAGTGAAAAATAAATATTAGAGTTATATAAAAATAAGAGTTGAAAAATAAAAGAAAAATTTTTAGTTTTTAGAGGATATATTTAGAAAAAAAATAGTTGCTATATTTTAGTAAGCCAATTTTTAATTTTGGTTTTACTAATATGTT